CAGCAGAAAGCCTCTCTACCTGACAGGTGGAGGGGGACTAGCCCCGTCCAGCCCACCCGACCTCAAAGAATCACTCAGCCCTGCCCTCACACCAGCGGGTCTCAAACCGTGGCCAGCATCAGAATCACCTGCAGGGCTTGCCAAATGCTGCTGGGCCCCAGGGTTTCTGAATCAGAACGTCTCAGCTGAGGCCCCAAATTATGCATATCTAACAAGTTCCTGGATGAGGCTGAGGGGCGGGGACCACACTCTGAGAACTAACGCCCCAGGCCAGGTTAATGGGCAACAGGCATATCTTAGACATAGATGGCAACAGCTGAGCAGTCCCCAGCCACAGCTCGCAGACCCAGGGTGGGCATCAGCGTCAAGGACCACCCACTCACAGCTGGGCAGATCCGTGTGGCCGGATGCCCTGTCCCCGGCATTTGAAATTGCAGTGGAGTCTGAGCTGGAAGGTCACGGAGAGCTGGGGCTGCCGTAGCAACATGGAGCACCATTCCTGCCAAGATCAGGAGGGCAGAGCAGCCTTAAACTGGCAGCCCTTGGCTGTGTCCACCTGGCAAATGTTCTTCGAAAATTTGCCATTTAAAAATTAGAAGAGTTGACATAAAAGTACTGATTTCCAGATTCTCTTGAAAACAGCACATTTGAATACAGCTGGGCCAACAGTCTCTGGTGACTATAGCTGGCTCGAGGCAGTGGCGGCTGCCCTCTGTAGGTAGATGCACACTCCCCAGGTCAGCAGGTTCTCCCCAGGCCCACTGCAGCCGTTTACTGGCTCCTGCAGGCACTTGACAGCAGAGAGGAGAGATGCTGTGAAGTCCGCATCAGAGAGTGGCGGCCCCAAAGAAAGCATCCAGCTTTTGCTCCCCAACCAGACCTCTTTACACCAGCCCTGCTTTCTAGCTTGAGCGAGCCAACCAAGAACCCGCTCCCCCTGCCCCACCAAGCCTGCTATGGCAAAATCGGTCACAGTGGGATTCCAGCCTCACCTCTGCAGGCTCAGACCTACTGCTGGATGTCACAGTGGCCCCTAGGGCCCCTTAGGCAGGAGGGCACTTGTCGGTGTCATAGCTGTTTATTTTTAACAGCTGGGATAAGCCTCAAGCCTAAGAGAAGAAAGGAGGCTGGGCTGGAGGCAAGGAGGGAGTGGCAGGGCTGACCATGCCCACCTGTGGGCCTGGCCACCTCAGGATAAGCAGCCAAGGTAAGATGAAGGATGAGGTTTGGATCTGAGCCAGGACAAGGCCAGGGGTAGCCACACGCACTCCTAAGTCTGTCCAGCTGAAGGGATGTTCAGAGAAGGCAGGCAGGGCCCTGAAGCTGAGTTTCTGCTGCAGTCCATGGAGACCCAGCTCAGCCTGGCAACCCAAGGGATGGACTCCCTTGCCCAAGATGGGCCTCCTGTGTCTCTCTTTCTTCTCCACCTACTGAACTCCCATTCACCTGTCAAGGGCCCAGCTCAAATGTCCTAGTCTCAGGGAAGACTCCTCTCATCATCCTGCCCTATCCTCCACCCACAATCTCTAAGCACACTTGGTCCCCCTGGATAGGACCCTCTCAGATACTCTGCACCCCTCCATTATAGCATCTCTCACAATGCACTGCAAGCTTGGTCACCAGTGTCTCCCCTGTTGAACTGTGAACTCACAGAGACCTGTCAGTTCATCTCTGGGACTCCAGGCCCAGCAAACAACAGGTCCAAAGAGGCCCTGAGGGGGCAGGGTAAGGGCAGAAGGGGAAGGAGGGTTAGGACCAGCCCCTAACAGGGCTCAGAGCCAACCAGCTGTGTGGGAATCCAAACTCAGAAACTAATCCTTCTGAAATACTCCCCAGCACTTCTGACACCCCAGAGTTCCTGCAAACACAGCTCTCACATATATGTGTATATGTGTGTGGCGGTCGTAAAGGGGGCGTATACAGGAAAGGGTATCATTTGGTAGGTAAGAGTGTGGGCACCGAAGTTTGGCTTTAAGTAAATATACTGGCCATATACTTATCACCTGGGTGACCTTGAACAACTGACTCCTCTCTCAGCCTCAATTTTTCCATTTATAAAATGGGAATTTTCTTTGCCCCACTTCATAACACCTTTGGAAGGTTTTAATAGGACAAGCAGCTTTTGGCATGAGGCAGATGAGGCAACTAGGCTCAGAGAGGTTGCATGAACCACCCAGTATCACACAGCAAGTTGGGAAAAGCAGCACACCGGTCAGGTCTCCTGGATCCTCAACCAACACTACTATGTTTTCAATAAATGATGTAGGAATTCCTGCCAAGACCCCTCAATTTACCCATTTCACTGTTGAAGTCTGAGTGGGAGTAGAGCAGCCGCCTGCCCACAGAGTGGGGGCCCAGAACAACAGGGATCGAAGGCTTCCTCCACCTGCCTGGGATCCCCACTTGCAGTCACCGTCCGCCTCCAGGAGCCAGAGGACACAGTCTCAGTTTCATTCCAGAGAAACCCTAGAGGCGACTCAACTGAAATACTCGGCCACATGGGTGCCTGGACAGCTGGTCAGGCCCCCTGGTATTTGGACTTTAAAAATAGATATCATCCTCATATGCTTGGGGTGGTTTTAGGTGTTCTCAGGGCCGCTGGCAGAGCAGACTGGAAGGGCGTCTCAGGCTCCAGCTGGCAGGGCCAATTCCCTCTCCTGGAGCCTGGACCTGAGGGCCTAGACAGTGTTGCAGATCCCCTCGGTGACTGGCCGGCTGTGTGACCTTGGGCAAGTCACTTCACCTCTCCAAGCCTCTGGAGAACAGGAAGAACAATCACTACCACCCAGGCAGACAGGAAGACTGAATGAGATTACACTGGACAGCAGGGAGCCTGGGACACAGAAAACATTCACTGAGTACCACCTGTGTACCCAGAACATGCTCTGGACACAAAAGGAGACTGCACAGTCCAGAGGTCCAGGAGCTCTGGGTCTCCCAGGCTTAAAAAGTTATGCAGCAGAAATATGGGCCGGGGGAGGTGCCTAACCCTGCCTGGGTATCAGGAAGCGTCCCAAAGAGGTGACAACTGAGTAGCAGCTAGCCTGGTGAAGGGGGGAAATGACGGGGCAGACAAAGAACTTCCAGGTAAAGGCCCAGACAGGGGAGGGGACTGGCAGATTTCTGATGTGCCCAAAATCACAACAGTGTCAATCTATTAAGTGCTTACCTGGTGCCAGGCACTAATCTAAGCATCCCGCATGTATTAACTCATTTCATTTTCACACCAACCCTCTAGGTGGGTTCTGTTATTATCCGCATTTCACAGAAACAGAAGCTGAGGCTCAGAGGGGTTAAGCAGCTTATCCACAGTCACACAACCAGTAAGTGGCCGGAGGCAGGATCTGAACCCAGGACTGTGGCTCAGAGGCTCTACTAAAGCGAGGCCTCTTGAGCGGTGTTGGGGAATAAACTGCCGAAGGCAGGGGTCAGACCAGGAGGGCAGGGCCTGGGTATCCTTAGCTGTCAGGGGGCCTTGCTAAGATCTCATCCTCTGTGTTAGACTGACCTGACTGTGCACCTCGATTCTCCACTTCCTAGCTTTGTGACTGCACCTGGGCCCTTCTCGCCTCTGAGCCTCACTCTCCCTATCTGTAAAATGGGGGGGGGGGCGAGTAAAGTGACAGAATGTTCAACAGGCTATATCCTCTCTGAGGACTCCTTACAGCACAGAACTGGCTGTGTGATTATGGACCAGTCCTTTTCCCTCTCTGGGCCTCAGTTTCCCCTGAGGAGGAGGGGACTGGGCCAGAAAGGGAGTGGCCCACAAAACCTATAAGCCCCCACCAGAACCATCACCTACCTCTGTCTGCTAAGCCACTCGGCTCAGCCCCCTCCCTCAGGTGGTGTCAGAGCAAACCCGGGAGGCGGGAAAGGGTGCCCCTATGAAGTGCGGGGAGGAGGCGTGGGGTGATGTTGAGAAGGGAGCAGAGCTGAGGGTACGAGTGAAAAAGTCAGCCCTGGGGTTTGTAGTCCTGGGAGGGGAGCGAGTTTCAATGCGGAGAAGAGGCAGGCGCTGGGATCCCCAAAAAGAGGCCGAGGGCTTCAGTGGGGCTTGAAGAGGAGGGCCAGTGCCCATCAAATGCGGGGAGAGATGCGGGCTGGGCATAAGCGGAGAGAGGAGAGGCAGAGGAAGCGTGCAGAGGGGCAAGCTGCGGCTCAGACGCGGGACGGCGGCCAGGGGCTGAAGTTTGCACGGTGGGAGACGCAGCTGGGCTGGAGTCCCGGAGAGGACAGGGCAAGCAATCCGCGGAGAACTCAGCCCGGGCTTCCGCCGGGCGCAGAGGCGGGGAGGGGGCGTCTCGGGGGCAGGAGTGGAGCCCGCTGCGAGGAGCAGCGACGGGGGCTGCAGGGGCCCGGGGGGGGGCCGGGGC